GCATAAATAAATCAATTTTAGACAGTAAATTCAATAAAGAAATAAAAATTTCCAAAATAAATGGGTCTCTTAATTATCTTTCACTTGACAATAATAAGAAAAATATTAAAGTAAAACGAATTGGAATAACAGAACCTTTAAGAGTTCGTTATATTAATGATTTAAATTTCGATTTTGCTTTTGAAGTAGTAGAGTTCAGCAGTGTAATGGAATCCCAATTTGATGTATTATTAGGTCTCGATATCTTAAGTAAATTACGGATATCATTGTCGGGAGTTGCCTACTGTTACCCCGATGAGGAAAGAACAGAAGCACAATTTCGGAATGTAAACTTTGACACGCAGAACAAATATGATCCGGAAAATGCTAATTATGGTACGGACAAGGAGCGAAAGATATTTTTAGAAGGAATACATGGGGCCACCGAGGCAAACAAAAACATACCGAAAGGATCGTTTTGCACGATGCCTGAGGCACTCATTCGCATCCCTCTAAAAACACAAACAGATAACATGTATATCAAGCAGTATCCGTTAGTGTACCATCAAATACCAGAAATACAAAGACAGATTAATGAATGGGTAAATGAGGGGATAGTATACGAAAGCATGCCTAGCTCAAAGTATAATACACCATTGTTAGCTGTAGGAAAAAAGGATGACCAAACTGGGCAATTAACCAAAATAAGAGTGTGTATGGACCTTCGAAGAATCAATTCCAATATTGATGACTCTAAAACGGACAAATATGTGATCCCGGATATGGAACAAATGTTTGCCGAAGTAAGTGCACCGGGAAGAGTATACACGAAAATTGATTTAAAGAATGCGTATTTTTCATTTCCAGTTGACAGTGAATCACAAGAAATCTTAAGCTTTACATTCAAAAATAAGACTTACAGATGGAAAGGATGCTGCTTTGGATTATCATTCATATCACAACAATACTCACGAGTAATTGCGCAACTTTTCCAAGGGATGGAAGGCGTACGAAATTACATCGATGATCTGTGCATATATTCGGCGCCAGAAGATCACGCGGAAATTGTTAAGGCTGTAATTGAGAAATTAACCTCGGTTAATCTTCGCATCAACTTTGACAAGTGCTCGTTTCTTCAAACTTCGATATATTTGTTAGGATTTATTGTTGGCCCCGGAATCAAAAAAATTGATACGAGGCGATTGTGCAATATTGACGACTGGAAAACACCCAGAAATAGTCGTGACGTTAGACATATTATGGGCATTGTATCACATCTGAGAGAGTTCGTTCCCTTAATGGGAAGAATATCCTATTCAATCAACGCACTCCGGAACTGTAGTGAAAAGAATAAGCCATTTATATGGACTACACAACAAGACGAGGCATTGAAATCGCTGAAAACATGGCTTACATCCAGTACGATTTTGCACACCATCGACATGACCAAGCGTATATATATAGAAACTGATGCATTACATTATGCGTATGGAGTATTAATCTCGCAACGCGATGAGCTCGGCAGATCTCTATACATTACATTTGCCAGTAAAACGTTTGGCAAACATGAAATGGCATGGTCCGTAAATCGAAAGGAAACATATGCAATTGTATATGCCTTTCAGAAATACAGGTCCATTCTCTGGGGACACCCTGACATCGTTGTATTAACTGATCACAGAAGTCTGGTATTCATGAACACAGCTACGCACTTATGCCGAACGCTGCAAAATTACATGGACATTCTCAGTGAATTCAAATATCGAGTCGAGTATATCCCAGGATTTTCCAACACATTTCCTGATATATTAAGTCGCTTATACCCCCCCAGAAGTCGAGGATCAAATTTTGAGGGAGGATGAAGAGAAGAAAATTATGAAGTTAGAACGTATGATCTTGCAAAGAAGACTACCGACTGATAAGATCAATCAAAAGATTGCAAAAGATCAATTCATTCATAAAAAAGAAATATACAGTAAAGATGAAAATTTGAACGTATTAGCTGTAAGACTAAACAGTAAAGAATACAAAGAAACAACAACTGAATACATAGCTCCACCCATAAATGAAAGAAGTAAATTATTAAGTGAAACTCATGCAATGGGACACTTTGGATCAGAGAGTATGGTACAACAATTACATGCTCAAGGTATACACTGGAATGGTATATTTAAAGACAGTAAAGAATACGTACAAACATGCATCGATTGTGCACGAAACAACATCGCAAAGAAAGGTTATCATCCATTGAGACCTGTGGTCAGTGCAGATCCATTTACATTCTTAGCTCTTGATTTAGCAGGTCCATTTTCCGTTACAGAGAATAATAACATATATCCTGGTAATGGTCGACTTATGCACCAAGTACATAATTGCAAGACCACTGAAAAATAAACAAAGTAACACAGTGGCAAAGGCGATAATGAATGTACTAGGAGACTATGGCATACCAATAAATCTTATGTGGGTAACAGACAACGGCCGCGATTTCTCGAATGCTTTGATGAACTCGATCACAAATGCATTAGGTATTGAACATCGTTTTTCGACACCATATCATCCAAGGGGAAATGGTGCAGCAGAAAATGCCGTAAAGGTGATCGTTTCCACACTCCGCAAATTATTAGGCAATGACACGAATAAATGGGATGAAATGTTACCCATCGCACAATTATGCTGCAATTATAAAATACGTAATCGAACCGCTAGTAGCCCATTTTCATTGATGTATGCGAGACAGTTGACAACTCCCAAAGATTACACTGATCCGTCCAGAACAATCCCAAGAAAATTGGCGACAGAAGAGGATTTGATCAAACGAGCTGAAATAATGGCATCGGTTGTATTTCCCGCTATTGAAGAAAGAACACGAAAAATAGTTGAGGAACAAAGTAAGAAGTTTAACAAAAAGCATTACCTCATTGACATTCCTAACGACACAACCGTTATGGTAAAGTTACCAAATAGAGCAACCAAGTTATCACCGCTATACGAGGGACCATTTACAGTTGTACGAAAGACAATGGGTGGCACTTATGTATTGAAGGATGAAATGAACGAGTTGTTACATCGTGATTATGTTCCGTCAGAGTTGAAAATTGTAAATATTGACGAGTCAGGAATAGAAGACGAGTTATTCGAAGTTGACGAGATTCGTGATCACAGAGAAGACAAAGAAGGCAATCGCGAATATTTAGTAAAGTGGAAAGGTTACGGAGAGCGAGAGAACTCATGGTTACAAGCATCAGCATTCTCATCGCCAGACACGATCCGCAAATATTGGGTAAAAGTACGTGAGCTTGAAAGACTAGAACAAGAAAGAAAGAATGAGTTAGTTCAACGCTCAGAGAAAGTTAGCAAACGACAAGAAAAGCATACAAAGATTATAACTGATAACAAAAGAAATACAAGATCTAATAAGGAGACAATACATAAAGAACTTCCCGCTAAGAAAAGACGTAGCAATCGAGATAGATAAATTTTTAAAAAAAAAAAATATATATGTAAATAGATATACCCACAGGAACAAGTCACAAAAATATGCATACAAAAAAAAAAAAAAAAAAAAAAAATCATGTAGCTAGGATGAGGACATACTATGGAAAAATGCTGAAATAGGAAGCATACCTATCATCGATCAACTAACGTTGAATCTAGAGGGAGGACATGTGCTAAACGCACATACAATAAAAATCATCGGTAATCCAAATTTATATAAATTGTCCAAATTTGGAACTCTGACACATTGAATACAATGGAAGAGCCGATAGAAAATATTATTAGAAATCATTGAAGCAATCTGTCGGCGACAAGCGTACCCTTGAATTCATGTAGAATTCAACAGTCAAGATAAATTTATGGACTAGCAATTCTAATAACAGTCAGCTTTCAAAAGAGTATAAATAGACCCCATTATTTCATAGTTAAAACTTCAGTCAAATAAAGTAACAAGGACTTATAATCGTACCTATCGTACTATTGTTTTTTTATATACTTTATATTTTTTTTTATCAAATCAGAAGTAATCGATTTGTAACAATCTCTACTAATGACTTTACGTCCCTTGACAGAGCCACCTGTCTTTGACTTTCTCTTCATTTCGTCTAAACACTTCAATTTTAATTAACTGAACAGCAGTGTCTATTCTACGCTTTTTGATAATTGTTATTGCGAGGGCTGCCTAATTCTCCATGTTAAAAAGTCTTTAAGATGAGTAGAAAGTAAACTTTTTTTTTGTTTTTTTTTTCAGGCACATACAGTTAAGCTTTTAAAGTCAGTTTTTACTTTTTTTTGTCAACTGCTGGGGTTGATTTAAAACTTTTATTTAACCGCACTTTTATGTAACCGTTTTTTTAAGCGCCACTGCTGGGGATGCTCTAACATGTTTCAACAAGATCACTCAGTAGTTATTGCTGATACTCTAGAAACTCAATCCCCTTTGGGTCGTAGTGATAGATTAGTGACGCCTTCGGGTTAATTTTATAATTACTTTATATATCTAATAAACTTACAGTTAATACAAAAAAAAAAAATTTACAAAAGGTATTTCCATCCAAAATCTTATTCGCATCCATCCGTTATCAAATCTTTGTCAATCCGTTCAAATTATTTGTGCATTCGATTCGTCTCCTTCTGCTCCATCTTTTTGAATTAATACGCTTTCTTGCATCTCTTTGATCTCGCCTTCAATTTCGACATTCAATACATTTTTGAAAAGAATTTCGTATAACTCCCGATCATTAAACTATAGGTGCTCTCAAGATCGGAAACCGAAAATAAATAGCCCATTTATTATACAAAAATAGTAAAAAAAGTGTCTGAAATGTAGAGCTAAATTTGGGCAAAATAAGACATACACATATAACGAATCAAATAAAAACATGATCAAAGTAATCTTCTTTTCAAAACTGTTTACTTGAAAAGGAAATGATAAAATAACAAACGTCTTTAAATCCAGTGGTTTTTATTTTTATTTTTTTTTCCTTTTAATTTGTCAAGTACATTTTGTCACTTACCCTACTATGAACAATACCGAAGCTAATAACAACGCCCCCAACAACGTACATGGACCTGGACGCGGTCGTGGAAATGGACGTGGAGGCAGACGTGAACGTGGCAGACGCGCTGGCACCTTTGTGTTTGTTGTCGATCCTACCGTTCAGCAAAACACCACTCCTGTTAACAACGGTAACACTGAAGCTGACAGTAACGCCAATGTCGATGATAACGATGAGCCTGAACAACCATCTTCGCGGTCCTACAATGTATGGCCTGATGTCGCTATTTGTATCCTCCTTGAAATTATGGCTGGTACCTACAGCTACTTGCTGAGAAGAAGCAATACTGCCTTAAAGCAGCTTATCTGGGTACATTGGGCTGCTTTGCTGAAGGAAAAGTTAGCTGAGAATGCTAGCACCGATGTACTCAGGGCTTTTTTGGCAAACATCAGCGAAACAAGTATGCAAAGAAAGTGGGCAGATATGAAGCAGCGTTTTAACAGAGTAAGAAATTCAGCAAGAGAAACCGGAGTTGGTGGAACTGTTCGAAACATGCCGTACTACGAGGAAATTGCTAAGATTACTCAGGATGATCCAAGCATCCAGCCTGAAGTGATTTACGAAAGCATTAACACGCAAGAGAGTGGTTTTCCGTCTTACAGACGATTTAACGACGTAAATTTGATGAATGCTATTGGATCTGATGGCCCTGAAACAATATACTTGGGACCTACAGAAGTTGATCAACTTGTAATTCAGAAAGCATTTGCTGACCGATATCCTACTAGAGATTCTACCAACAACGAAGGACCTGCAGTGCCATCATTTTTTGAATCAGTATCCGCACCTCCCCCACCAACAACAGCACCAGCACCAACACCAACACCAACACCAGCAACAGCAACACACCCACACCCACACCCACACCAACCTCAACACCAACAACCAAACCAACAACACCAACACCAACACCCACATCAGCATCCGCAGCACCACCAACATCGACAGGCGCAACACCTCCTCCACCATCATCCGCACCTCCACCTCCATATACTGTACATCCGCACCACCTCCACCTCCATATACTGTACATCCGCACCACCTCCTCTGCCACCTTCATCTGCACCACCTCCCCCAAGATCTACCCGTACATCGAGAAATAGTCGAACTTCTGGTGAGCAGTCTTCATCAACTCCTGATCCTATTGAAGCTGCTCGTCAGTTGTCAGACGAACATATGCCACGTGCCCGCCAACTGGGTGTAGAGATGATGGATCGCATGGCAGCATTGCAAAAAGAAGATCGAGAACAAAGACTTCTCGATGTTGATAACATGTTGCAACGTATCAGTCGTAATCGACAAATTGCATTAGAAAATATCCAAGCAAGACGGCGACAAGAGACCAGAGAGAGATACGTTATGTTCGAAGAAGCAAGAAGTAGACGAGAGGATGACATGGAAGAGCATAGACGTAGACGCATGTCTGATGTGGAGATTATCCTGAATAGATTCGCAGCCATTCGAAGAGATGAAAGTGATACCAATCTTAATGGTTCATCTTCTACTGACAACAATAATTAATTAAATAAAATAAAATTTTTAATTCATTAAAACCTTTTGAAAACTATGCAAGTCTATCTGTTCCCCTCATGATATTGTTTCTTCTTATGATAGACATTGCCTTAAGACGGCGTATCCCGGCTGCGTCGATGATAGCGCTGGTACCATCAAAAGGAAGAGGGGGTTCAAAATTCACCTCGTTTTCATACTGGTTTCGGCGATCTGACTCCACAAAACCCTCGAAATCTAATCCTCCATCCAACACTGCCTCTTCAAGGTCATTTTGATTTATGCAAATGTTGTGTAAATCACAGCAAGATGTGATAGTTTTGGCCATTCTATCAACACTAAGCATATACAAATGCTTCCAAAGGACTCTCCACCGGGATGTGAGTCCACCAAATGCATGTTCTATTTTTATGCGAGCACTACAAAAGATTTCATTGAAAATCTTTTCTTCTGCAGTGTTTTCACGTCGGCCATGAAATGGAACAATGAGGTTTGGCAGCAAAGGGTAAGCAGAATCTAGGCCACATCATTAATAATTTGTACACTATGGTATGATTAATGAGTTTACCTCCCAAAATATAAGTGTTTGCGGGACACCATCTGGTCGCATCAAACAAAAGTTTATGATAGATCACACTGCTAGTAAACACTCGGGCATCATGTTTTCTGCCTTAATATGATAACAAACGGTAAGCTGCTATATCATTTTTTTATTCTTCCATACGAACCTACCGGAATGCCCAGTTTTTACGTACATAAACCGAGTACGGGCATCGCATATGGCCACTACGTTCATAGATGCGTGGCTCTTTCTATCGACATATGCATTTCCATTAGTTGCCGGCTTTTGAATGACGACCAGCTTGCCATCAATCGCACCTAGTACACCAGAAAGTCTCGTGGCATCAGGTCCACCAAGTTCTGAAAACTCACGAGCATTGTTTAAAGCTCTATCTCTGTCGTCGATAGGCCACATTATAATTTCGGGAGTAATCTCCAACATGCCATCAATAAATCTGTTTGTGAAATTATTGAACGATCCGGCAGTTACTCCAAGATGGGTTTCAGCAATGCGATAACCAAAATGAGTGTTGGCAAATCTCCAAAGCACACACGCAACTTGGACTTCCACAGAGTATCCACCTCGCAAAATCGATCCGAGATAAGTAGAGCATCTACTTAAACGATTGACGAGCCACTCAAAGGTACGCTTGTTAACGCGATCATGGGCTCTATAACTGTGGCGGCTGTTACGATCATCTGACAGGTTAGGGTGCTTGATTGTCCAGTAAGTTTCATACGTGTCCATACGCTCGGTTCGAACAACCCTTCTGTGGACTTCTCTGGTCATCATCCAAGGGCTGCTTATAAAAATATAATAAAATTTGTCATAGTTGACAAGAGCGGTTTCATGTAAAATTGTTTCCCTGATCCAATGTTGAAACAAGGAAAAAACATCATGGTTGCCTTGGGTGCGGGCGAAGTCTGCAACAACGCGCTCTTCGGCAATGGCTACCTCTTGTTCAAGCATTTGCTCTTCCAAATCGTACTCTTCGTCCATTGCACTAATTTCGTCCACCAAGGCATCGAAATATTGATCTTCGTCTTCGAAATGTTCGGCGTCATCTTCCATCGAAACTTGTTCTTGCATCATGTCGAAGAAAGTTTAGTCCATTGGGTTCATGTTAAATAGGTACTTTAAAAAAATTAAGATAAGCGAAAAGGAAATTTTTTGTTTTTTATTTTTTTTGATTCAATAAAATCACGTTGGTCCTCTAGTAGATTCGAAAGTGAAAAGCTGTCACGTCATCACCTGATCATTGAATTTTATTTTATTGTCTAATTTAAGAAATGGGGTACACTCCCAAAAAAGGCTCGATCACCATTCCGAATTTTACCTTGAGAGCACCTAGTATAAATATCCCCACCCTATTTTAAATAAAATAGTATATTTTATCTCATACTTTATTTTCTACTTGTACTTTAAAGAGTACTACTTCTGGCCAATAAGAATAGGTACACGTGATTATCACGTCACTCGTAGTTTTTTACATACAGTTAAGACCAGTTATGACTGGTTAAATATTCAAATTGATGGATCATACCCGGACTACGTTAAATAAACAAAAACCTGGAACTACTGTTATGACTGGTTAATTATGGTAGTACCTGTACCATCCTTTTGCATAATAATCCTAAAGACTGTACCATCATTTTGCGTTAATTATCTTAAAGAATGTACCATCCTTTTGCATTAATTATCTTAAAGACTGTACCGTCCTTATGGATTAATTATCTTAATACCTGGATATATAGCATGGTTTCATTGGACTAAATTTTATAGATGGGGACATGATACTGGCTGCTTTTTTGATGATTCATAATATAGCTTTGGTATTACTGGCTTAGTATTCGTCATATCTTACATATGATCGTACATCATTGGCTTTAATAATCAAGATGATGATTAATTCCTTTTTATTACTGGATTCATTATAGCATCTGTTCAGATATGCTTTACAATCATTGGATTAAATTACAGAAAAAGATGTATTCAAATGGGCTTAATAATAGGATTTGTGGGATGAAAAAAATTTTATTTTGTAAAAAAAACACGTATACACACTAGATCTATTTACACATTCCAAATTTTAAAACTTACCTTACCGTGTACTTGTTTGGGGTCCTATAGTCATCAAGGGAAGTAAAAGAGTATATCGTTTTATAACCATGGGGTTCACGTCAAATAAAATAAACAAGTAGAAAGCAGCGTTTTGTAGTTATGGTTAATAAAGAGAGCTATTTGCTCAGTGCGACAGTGACACAGTTACACAGTGAGACAGCGAAACAGCGAAACAGCAAGACAGCAAGACAGCGAGACAACGAGACAGAGAATTAGCAAGACGACTGAAAAACGAGGAGTCCTAAGGCGAGCGTACGTTTACTATTCTTGTCAGCCAGTGCGTATATAGTTTTTGACAACGATGATATTTGAGCAGAATGCAAAAGGGGGCTTGAAGTTTGGGCATAGCTTGGAAATCTATTTTTAAGACAATAAGTTAGCTGAGCGAGACAGTATAGTGTAGATCTTACCCTGAAGAAAGTCAAAAAGAAGTCATAAGAAGCAGTTTTACGGTCATTAAGTAGACGAAGATTAAGATGGCACTAGTAAAAAGTAGGAATCTAATAACAAACAATTAATATGATAGTCAAAAAGCATGGTATATATAATTTACCGATATCAAGTTGCAAAAGGAAGAGCATTGTTGGAATCATTATAGATAAAGTCTTGGCAGCCTGAAACCTGTGTTCATAATTAGGTTTTTATTTTTACCCATTCTCATGTTGACGTTACCTCTTATTGTCGTGGTGCATTAGGCAACCGTACGTAAGGCAGCCGTGCCAAAAAGCCAGTAGTAACTAGAGTCTTGTAGGCATCTATGAAAGATGATTGTCAGTCTTCGACACGTTTCAGAAGGAGACCTTATCTTATCAGTTTTTTTTTTTAAAAAAAAACGGATGCTCGAGTAATGATGCAAGTAAAAAGAAAGCCTGTTATGTTGTTAAGAGAGAGCCAACGAAGGGGATTAAAGCCAAGAGAAAGGAGACAATGCGTTATGCCAATGTAGAGGAAACAAGAGCTGTCATAGAAAAAAAAGGCAGGAGGACGATTAATTTCGAATGAGAGGCGTGGCATTTTTTAAGGTTCTTACTATAGGGTCATATGTAGGCCTGGGCTGGTTACCTCTTTTAATTGAACACTATACAAGAGTAATGTTGGCTGACATGTTAACTCTTATAAAATAAAAGAATAGTACTTACAGAATTTTTTTTTTTTTTTTTTTTTTTTTTACAAAAAAAGGAAAAGAAAAAGAAAGTGAAAGAAAGAGATGGAATTACATTTTTTTTTTGACTGTGACAAGTTTATTGTGTGCAAAAAAGGGTCTAATTATAAGCGTAGATCCAAACAGTAATAATATTGTTCTTCACCCTTCTTTACAAAATAATATGGCAAGTAGCACAACAAATAACATTACTTACAGCCCAAACAGTACCCCCGTGGTGCAATCCGCTCAACCTGCAGCACCTGCCTTTATTGCCCCTGCTAGAAGACGTACTGGTAATAACGAACACATTGCTGTGCTCGAGAGTCGTATGGATGCATATGAGCGAGGAAATCGACGTGTTGGTGGTGAAAGAATAGGAACTGATCCTCAACAGAGTGTAAGAATTATACCTATCTATCTATTAAAAACATATCAGTACATCATTTTAATATTACCATCTGTAGGCCCTGATTCGAGCTTTCTACAGGCGTGCATGTAGGGAAGTAACTCTTCCTGCTTGCGATGTTAATTCAACTTTGTTGGAGGGAACAAATATCGATATTTACAACCATATCTTGAACCAATTTCGTCTGGAAGAAATCCGCACGTATGGTCTTCCGGATACTCACCAGCTTGGAGAGAATCAAGCCTCTGTTCTGGCCAGGCGTATCAGAACGCACCAGGAGAATGTGAGAAGACGAGTCCGTCGCAATGAGACTCAAACAGCAGCAGAAGTACAACAATCTGCTGTTGTTTCTAACATGGGGTCAAGAATGGCCACTGTAAGTATAGTATAAGAATCAAAAACACACAAAATATTAAAATGTACCTTCGAATTAGAAAATGAGAAGACGTTTAAGAAACTTTGAACGTTTTCAACATATGATTGAGGACCGCCTCCATATCTCGTCTGGCGATTGTCACGCTGTGGTGCATCCGGAATATATGTCAGAGGAGAAAACGACGCCGTTAATGCGCACGGATTGGCCACGTCGTTGGTAAAGCTCTGTCCCTCTTGGAGATCTACCAAGGCAAGTTAATAAATTAAACATCAAAGCCAATGCTAATTTACTTACAACATTTATTCCAATAGTTGGAACAGGTTTATGCCTTTTTGGATGCTCCTGCCGGTTCATCTCGAGGTATTTCATTACCTCGTACCTCAAGAGTAGTCGAGTCTCCCTT